GSKYTKKTKTWYRMAWWTWTKTGMKAWTCTTATAGGAATAGTCATATAATAATCACCATCATAGTCATAGTCATAATCAATTTGCAATCATAATCATTATCATATAATTCATTTTGTTTCCATTTCTATTCAGTGGATGAGTGGATGTCCATGGAGAAAAACATYGAAAAACATTGCTATAATGTTTGGTATGAATCAGCWCTGCTAGTMTCAARTCAAGCAGATAATAGRKCTACCAAAAAGGTGTATTGCTACATTTCACCAAAGGTAAAATTGARTAAGGTTTATAAAAAGTTTTTTTTACATTGCTTGGTTGCTCTTTGATGAATTCAAGTTTTTTGAGAGATATATGCATTCATTTATTAGTCCCACTCTTGTTATTCSCATTCATTTATTCAATTTTCCATTTATTTGTTTCATTTCTCATCCATCTTTTTGCCTGCGCTATGTTTTTCATTTGTTTAATCAATGTTCTCAAAGCTGTTTGTTGGCTGTTTTTTGCTAATAAAGTTATCTGTGAACATATTTTTAGGTTTTTATATATTATTTGCCTTTGTGAATGTGCAGTATAGTACAGTGAATGAYATTGTGTATTTATTGTGTTTTTGTTTCAGCATTTATCCATTAAAGACTTCTATTTTATAATTATCCCACATAAGCTACATGTTTTCCGTGTTTCTCCWCGAACAAAGGTATATATTTTTCAGCAGCCAACAATGATTTAACAGTTACTAGCTACGTTAAAGGCTGAAATTCAATTTAAGGGAAAGTGCATGACCCAACAATTCAAATTACAATACTATGGGAACAATCTGCAACCATGTACTCACAAGTATTTTCCATTTATAATCAGTAATACCAGGAATACTAATGATTTCAATAATATCAAGTAATGGTATTCTAATGGTATTTTATCAACAGCTAATTCTACATCCACCAAACGTAAATTTGAAGCATCCAACATTCACAATAAGCGATGGTGTTCAGCCACCAGTCAAAGTAATGTGCGAGGATAGAAATGTACTTGTTGCAACATTCTCTCGTCTACTGCTTTCAAATATTGGTGAGTCCTTACATATTTTCTTTTTTTTTTTTCATGAGAATTTAGTTCATTGAATCATCATAATTTTTGTTTTCAAGGGGGCTCGGAGACATTCAAAAAGAAGCAGGAATTCTTCTACCAGAAGCTGCTTTCAAAACATGGCTCAAAGTTTGGTAGTACTAAATTAAAGATTAATCGTGAAAATCTCCTTGAAAGTGTGGGTAGTGATCCTCAATTAATGTTGAATTATGATTAAAACAATATGATAGATATGTAATGTTTATTTCTTTTTTTCTTTCTTTCTCTTTTTTTTTCTCAGTCATTCTCTGCCTGCAAGTCTCTGAGMYACAGTAGTGATTGGTTACGTCTTTTTAACATAACGTTCCAAGGAGAAGAGGGTAGGCTGTGCTATTATACTCCCCAATTTCTGTCATTCTATTGTTGCTGGTTACTATTTTTCCTTTTGACTTTCCTTACCTTTCAATCCGTCTTCTCTGCCATCTTTCTTCTCTTTCCACATCTCTCTTTCTTCCATCCTTTCAGTTCTCTTTTTATTCTTTTATCTTCTYCTTTTCTTTCATATTTCATTCGTTTTTTTTTCTTGCCTTCTCTCCTCCTTTCTTCCTTTCATCCTTTTTCTTCATCAAACACGTATCTTCCTTTTTTTCTCAATCTTTTCATTTCCTTTATATTTAGTTTTCTTTTGCTGTTTTCTTTTTTCAGTTTTCTTGATTCTTTTTTTTCACTATGAAAATTATTTTTCTCACAGGTTTGGACTGGGGTGGGGTGCGACGCGAGTGGTTTGACCTGCTATCAAATCAACTCTTCGGTCATGAAAATCARTTGTTTATGCGTTTTAAAGATGACGATCCACAAGCCTTGGTAAGTCTATACGGATGAATTGTTGTTGTTTAGAAATGAAATAAATTGCTTGTTTTTTTGGGGGGCTCATTTACGTTTTTTTTTATCCAGGTCCATCCAAATCCAAGACGACCAAACCATTTAAAGATCAAATACTACGAGTTTGCTGGCCGCATTGTGGGTAAATGTTTGTACGAATCAGCTGCCGGCGCAGGACGACGACAAAACGTAAAAGCCAAGTTCTCGCGTTCATTTCTTGCCCAGCTTCTTGGTCAACGCGTTACATACAAGGTATTTCTATCACGTGTTATTCTATTACGTTGGACATGTTTTCACGTGATTGTCACGTGTTCTATAGGATGGGACAAACATGCATCCAAGTAAATAGCTGTCTGCTCAGCCAGTTAATAAAAACATATAAAAAAAATCATCAGCAACAAGACAACAAGCAGCAGACAGATCAAAAACCAACATATGCAATAAAAGTGATAAAAATAAAGTTGAACTCGATGAATTTGTAGTTTTTTCTTTGCAGCACTTCGAAACTGATGACAAGGAACTCTTTCGTAGTAAAATCAARTATATTGAAGACAACGATCCTGAGGACTTGGATTTGAAGTTTGAAGAGGAATGCTATGACAGCAAGGGGAAGCTAGTTAAAGTGAGGCTACAATGACACTCAACAGACCGTTAATATTACGTAAAACTAAGTTGTTATTTGAATCGTTTTGATGTTCCTTTTCCAGACAGTAGAGCTCAAACCAGGTGGTTCTCATATTCCAGTCACTCAAGAAAACAAACTTGAATACCTTGATTTACTGGCACAGTATAGACTGGTAACTAGCTGCCAGCAAGAGGTGGAAAGTTTTCTTAAAGGTATTTGCTGAAACTGTCCCAGTACTGCTTTGCGGGCTAATCAAAACGCATTATTATGCACGACTAATAAATGTTTTTTTTAACTCATAATGCGACTGAAGGACAATTCTTTAATGTTTTTTGTTTGTTAAAGGATTAAACGAACTTGTTCCWGACAGCTTGCTAAGCATCTTTGATGAAAACGAGTTGGAGGTATGACAGTCTTCGTGTCCAACATTTCAGGTGTCGAAATTGATGTAGCTCACTAATGGACTATTGTTGTATTGTAGTTGGTTATGTGTGGTACTGGTCACATCAGTGTTGCAGATATGAAAGCCAATTCTATCCAATCCATTTTCTCGAACAAGGTACTGAAGAAGTTTAAATTTGAGATAAATGAAGATTGTAGAACGTGTACTATTTTCATATGTTTAGGTTTACTGTTCACACGAAACCACCGAAAACAATAACCGTGACCGGATGCAATGAAACCTCCTTAATCCGGCCAACGCACGGACGGCATCGAACTGAGAGGATATATTAACCGAACTTTATAAGTTTGCCGTTTAAGCGGATGGCCGTAAAACGGGGTTTCATTGTACTCCGGACGTGCGGTTTGAAAACAATGATGGGTTTCGTGTAAACGCTAAAAAGAAAATCTTCTTCGACTGATATCCGTATGGGCGTGTTCAGTATTTTTGAATGACAAATCAGTCCATTAACTGTCATGGTCTTCATTCAGACAATAGATTGGTTCTGGACGATTGTTTCTAGTTTCACACAAGAAGAACTGGCTCGACTTGTTCAGTTTATCACTGGAAGTTCACAGTTACCACCTGGAGGTTTTATTGAGCTCTCGCCAAAATTACAAATCATGCATATAGGAAGCACAGACACGCTCCCAGTAGCGCATACATGGTAAGTTTTCTATGATCCTTTCCCCCCCTGATGACGAGATGTACCATGACGAGATGCAACACGCCCCCACTGTAATAGCATCCTTGTAAAGGTTTCGCGTTGAATCGTTGTTTTTGTTCTTTCTAGCTTCAATCAACTGTGTATACCAAACTACTCATCATTCGAACAAATGGAGAGAATGTTGCTTATTGCTCTTACTGAAGGATGCGAGGGATTTGGTTTTGCTTAGGCTTTTGCAGAGACTTTCCTAAAAGAACGAGATAACCTTCAATTCTTTAAGATACAGACCACTTTCCTTGGCCTATATTTTCATATCTTTCCTTCTGAGCTTTGGTAAGATATCTGGGGAAAATTGTATGGGAGCTTCTTTATTAGAATCATTGGTAATGACAATAGCTAGTATAGTAATGCTTCTTTGAATTMCAAAAAACAATCAAACATGAACATTTTCAATACAATATAAATATAATATATAATATATAATATATTTATAATATAAATTTTCGAATTGATAAAAAGTTTTTAATACACAAATAATAAAAATGAAACTGCTACTAGTTTTTCTTGCTGATTTAAATGGTTGGTTTCTTGCATAGTTAATATGGTTTCTTGACAACCTTTTTCACAAAGTTGTTGTCTGCGACTCTTTATCAAAATGACYTTCTGGACCAGCACAAGACAACGGATGATCCACTACATTGTCGACTTTACTGCAGTCTTGATTTGTTAACTCTGTGTCAGAAATGCCAAGTTCTTGACGAGCAGTGTCTTTGCTTTTAAAGAAACAAAGATGGACGAATAGAATGGAACCTCCTAATATGGTAATGGMTCCTGCCATAATGAAGGCTCCAGCGTAAGACCCAGTCTTGTCAGMCATTAAACCTGAAAGATAATTTGATTGCGTTAGACGCTTGTTTCACTTCACAAGGGCTATCACTGAAGAAGAGGAACAGTGAAACTTCATATAGTGCACGCATAGATTTTCAAAATCCGCACCGGAATAACTGTTACTGCATTAAGACATACCTGCAATGGCTGGACCAGCAGATAGTGACACAGACGTTACCATGTTAGCCTGTCCAAACGCTGACGGTCTACGAGGTACGTCCACAGTATTCATAAATAAGATWTKTRWMGTCACACGAAACGCACCATCAGCGATGCCGTAGAATACAGCAAAGATGATAAGATGGGTGTAGGTCTTAGAGAAACTTAACAAGATCGTCGATAMTCCTGACAATATGGCTCCTACTTGATGGAYGTATCTTGGTTTGATAAAACTGACATCACAAAGTCTTCCACATATTAGTCTTGATACGACTGTCGCAGAACCAAAGAACACAAACAGCGTAGAGCCGTTGCTTACGGACAACTCTTCAGAGAATTTCACCTGCATAAAGAACGGTGTTATAAATTAACAACAACAAGGGCGGTTCCAAGAAGTTTTTTACCTCATCACTATAAGAAGACGAGATCTGCAGAAAAACAGGTTTAACAAGMAATCAATTAATATAACTAGAGAAAAGTGTTCAACTCACCATATGAATCAAAGCCGTGTACTGTCCGAAACTACCCACGAATATCGCTATAACACATATGGTGTATTCAGGGAACATCCACACTGACAAATCGAGAAATCCCAGGACAACTTTTCGTTGAACTTTATCACCACTTCGGGTTAACTTCCCTGCCTTTGTTCCTTCAGCTTGTTGTTGCTCTTTTTCAACATTTGGGTCCATAACATAGAGTAGAAACAGCTGACCTGCATATGTCCCCGCATAAATACGGAATGTGTTCTCCCAGCCGAAACTGTCCAACATTGCCTTTAACACGGGTCCAATAATCAAAGTCCCAAAACCAGCCGCRGCAGAAACTATACCAACAGCCAAGGAATAGCGTTTGTTGAAGTACTTTCTGAGAATGATGAATCCTGACGTGAATGCTAGAGCACCTCCTAAACCTGTCAGTAKGCTATACGTGATGTAAAGAGGATATATTGATTTACAAATGGAGCTCAGGACGAAKCCAGCGATTTGTAGTATCATCGCTAWACCTCCGGTTATACGACAAGTATATAGYTCACAAATTYTACTGGCAAAGACGGACGAAAAGAACGTAACACCCAACCGCAATGATCCAACGAGTGCTAGAAAAGATTGAAGAAATTATTAATAATACATGACTTCAAATAAGACTTTCAGCAGATACTTGCTTAATAAGTTCCTAGATATTTCCAGCTGTGGTATCAACAGGCAGTGGTAAAAAATGCTCTACAATTTCGAAACTCCGTTCAATTGAGTAAAAAGGGTGTTAAACAAAGGCGCGGAGAAAGATTATGCAGTCTAATTTTTTTACCTGAGCATAGACTTGAATAAAAACCGATAAATTCTGAACTTTATTTATATTATCCATAAAGGATCCATATTATTTACCTGTTTTTTCTCGATTCGCATTGAGAGATACCATTAAGTCTGGAAGAATGACTCCATATCCAAACGCAATTCCTCCCTGAGAAACGGCACAAATACAGAAAACACAAAGTACCAGCCACGCCCAAGGACCATCTTGACGTCTTGGGAGACCATTATTGGTAATGAACGATAACCAAGATGGATTGTTAGTTGTCTTGGTAGCAGAGCAACTGAAATTATATCAATAATAATTATCTTTGGCAACTAGCATCATGTTTTGCATTGATATCAGCCAAGACATTAACATAGAGATTCTTCACTGGTTGACTGTTCCTTTTCTATGACCCAAAGTTTTCAAGTAGAAAGTCCCGAGTCAGTGAAAGAAAATCATGATTCTACTTTGTTTGCCCCCCGCTTGACTGTAAACGTCAAGTTTTTTTAAAAGATACATTTGTAACGCATTCTCAAGATCAAGGACCCCTTGCGACAACTAGTTCCAGGTCAGTTAAAGGTCTTAAAGTGATTACTCCATTGGCTTTGCTCCTCTCCGGCCAAGATCTGACAGCACAAAAATGCCAATACGTTTTAAAAAGAGTTTGTTTAAAGCCAGATTCCACTATCATATGAATGAACAACCCTTCAAGTAATATGACCTCTTCTTCGATATATCCATTGCATAACGTATCACTGAGGAATTTGTGTGCTCTCAAACGCAAATAACTATTGCGAAATTTTATTTTTCATTTCGTAAAAAACCTTAAGCACTGCGTAAGAATTGGATTGTGTAAAAAAATTATTTTGTACAATTAGAATGGGGTTTTTACGGTCATGTTAGTTCATAGAGCATCCCGTGACAGTGGTGGATGTAGACTTCTGCAACAGCGTCTAAAATGTATTTTGTATTTACTTTTTGCCTTAGTATCTGTTTGTCTGTTTTTTATCGTAATAATTAATCGTATTTAAGGTTATCGATATAGTCACAAGTCATTCTTGTGTCAAAACCTTTACATGCTCCGGACAATCAATGCATGTTTGACATTTCCGAACTAAAAAAACATCCCAAACACAACATGACCCATCTCTAATGACCATAAACTCTAATATTGATTACCTCATTGTGAACAATTTCAGTTTTATCGTTCAGATCATTTTCTTTCCTGAGAAGTAGTTAACAGTAGGAAAATTCAGTGAARGATTAGACAAGCCTGTCCGCTTTCGTGATTTGTGCTCAAGGATTATGGTATATGTGACAACTCTCTCATATCGGGATCCCTTTGGTAGTCACAGATGTCAATAAGGCTACATCATACTATTCTTCGTTTTCAGGTTACGCCACAGCGGCCATCTTTGGAGGAATTTCAACAAAAGATTTCTCATTAGTATCGATCTATTGCTCATTCCTCCAACATGGCCGCCGATCTTTTATATTTTGAATCTCATGGGAATAGATGAAAACGATAATAACAGTGTTTCAGTGCCAAAAGATTGCCACGTGACCTTTTCTTAGCTTTGATGATATACATTTCCTCAATGCATTCTTTTGATATCCGACTGACCATACTTGGAAAGCTGGATTCCCGGGGATACGGCGCTTTGCTGAGAATTGAACTAAGTGATCTTCTGTTTCTTTCCTTTATTTTATTTTGTTTTTTTTTTTCGCAGTTTTATATTCAAATTTTCTTGCCGCCGACATACAATAAATTACAAAGCGAACATTTAATGCAATAGACAGCATTAGATRTGATACATTCAAAATGATCAGGGATTCTAAGTGATGAGTTAGGACCAGAAATATAGAAGTGTGCGATACAATGCAGTACGGACAAGTGTCACAACGGTTACGTGAGCGACGAAAAGTGCCAGACCGTTATTAGTAGGAAGAACACCTTTAACTAGGAAAGAACGAAGGTTACGATCACGTTTATTAGAAAAAAGGGGGTCGGTCGTTAAAGATGTGGGAAATGTTAGTTTCAGAAGTGAGTAAGAAGTTATTACGATTAATAATAGGCTTAATAGAACTGTTAATAGGATGATACGTAAGAGTGAAAGGAATACGGCTATTAGGCGCTATTAGGTGTGAGCAGTGTTACGATCAACAATGCGAGATACTGGCCTGGTGAGCGCTAATACTCCATGCACAATTCAAAAAATTACAAATATTTTATAACACAGTTTCCCTTAACTCATCTTCAGATAGGATTTTCGAAACATCCCTAATTATGGAAGCATCAACTGTTCCAACACGTGTCCAGTCCTTATTTTTGAGATACGAGTCTGGTATTATAACTTTTCGTCGAGTAGTGCCCTTACTTCTAGAGAAACGAAGATTGACAAATAGAATGRAACCTCCTAATATGGTTATGGTCCCTGCCATAATGAAGGCACCTACGTAAGACCCCATCTTGTCAGCCATTAGACCTGAAAGAAATGTTTTATTATGCAAGACTTAACAGATTTTGTTTATATATCAGCTGTAATAATCTATGAAAGGACGTTTCTAATCAGTGAACCGCTTCATGCTGGACCCTCATACTAATCCATATCAATTCCTAATTTCTATTCCCACTTCAGCCTTACAAACTCAGTTTGAGATGTCAATGTGAATGAAAGATCATACCTAATACTGAAAAAATCGTTTTATAAGTAAGAGGGTCCAGCAGCGTCCATGCATAAGTAAAATCTGATCAGGAAATTACCCTAGTACCTGCAATAGCTGGACCAGYACACAATGACGCAGACGTTACCATGTTAGCCTGTCCAAACGCTGACGGTCTACGAGGTACGTCCACAGTATTCATAAATAAGATATTTGTCGTCACACGAAACGCACCATCAGCGATGCCGTAGAATACAGCAAAGATAATAAGATGGGTGTAGGTCTTAGAGAAACTTAACAAGATCGTCGATACTCCTGACAATATGGCTCCTACTTGATGGACGTATCTTGGTTTGATAAAACTGACATCACAAAGTCTTCCACATATTAGTCTTGATACGACTGTCGCAGAACCAAAGAACACAAACAGTGTAGAGCCGTTGCTTACGGACAACTCTTCAGAGAATTTCACCTACACAAAGGAATGACTGTATTAGTTAGMAAGYTGGAGCATGCAGTTACAGCAATACGGTTGTTGGCGCATATCTTCCTCAAAGGGTAAATCTACACTTTCAGTGCACTGCACATGCTCTTAAAGATATATGCTGTATGTGATTTCCCAATTATCCCACATGGATTAGACAAATAACTTAGGTTAATGCATATACTCACAATGTGAATCATTGCAGTGAAGTGTCCAAAACTGGAAACGAATATCGCTATAACAGATATCGTGTATTCGGGGAACCTCCACAAYGACAAATCGAGAAATCCCAGGACAACTTTTCGTTGAATTTTGGATTCSTTTTCAGAAATCTCTGTTCTTGATTCAATCTTTTCATCGATGTCGTTCTTTTGATCAACGTTTGGACCCATTACAGTGATGAATAAAAGTAGAATAATGCAGGACCCTGACAAAATACGGAATGTATTTTCCCAGCCAAAACTGTCCAGTAAAGCCTGCATTAAGGGTCCAATAACCATCGTCCCAAGACCAGCCCCGGCAGAAGCTATGCCCAAAGCCAATGAAAAATGTTTGTCAAAGTACTGTCTGAGGGCAATGTATCCTGATGTGTATCCTAATGAAGCTCCTAAACCTGATATCAGACTGTAGGTCAAGTAAAGAGGATATACTGATCGGCAGATGGAACTGAGGACAAAGCCAACAATTATCATAACCAAGCCCACAGCTCCGGCTATACGACAAGTGAACTGTTCACAAATTTTGCTGGTAAAGGCGCAAGCGAAGAAGATGATACCCAATCTTAACGATCCAACRAGTGCTAAACAATATTTAAAGATTATTAGTACATTACACGCTATTGTAAACTCCTGAACATTCACTGGAAAAAATAGCGCGCTTTAGGTTGTAAATTTGATGTAAATATGATGTAAGTGTCCAAAATTCTGTAAATTTGATGTAAGTGATTTCCATTACATGTACAGAAATTTGGACAATTACATCATATTTACATCAAATTTACAAGCTTTAAAGCGCGCGATTTTTTCMAATGAAATTGCTAGAAAAGCAACTGCACGTGACGCTATTTTGGCTGTGACAAGATTCAAGAAAACCGGAAAGATGACTTTGTCTTTACCAACTCTGAGTTGAAAAACTAAAATCTTGAGGATATAGACAGTGCCATTAATAATTGATTAACCATAAAAAGATCAGCCTTACTACACCTGCTTGTTCTCGATTTGCATCTAAAGACACCATCAAAGCCGGGAGAATAACTCCATAACCAAACGCAATGCCACCGAGCAACAAAGAGGCTAAAAAGAAATACCCGAGTACCAGCCACGCCCAGGGACCATCTTGACGTCTTGGGAGACCATTATTGGTCACGATTGACATCCAAGACGGTTTAGTGTCATTACTGAAAGTAAATCGACTGATAATTAATGTCATTGAAACTAACATCATTTTTGTTGTGCGGTTCYCCTTWTTAACMAATGAAAGCGCTGGAGTTAATGAGTTTATAGGTGAAAATTAACAATTAAAGCAGAAGAATCAAAATAACATTGATCAAAGGACACGGTTCGGCCTTCAGCCTCAAGGACGGGGCTTCGCGCCGTAAATAAACTACAAGAACGAGTAAATCCAGCCTCTGGTTCCCAGGGTATCTCCCCCTGGGTCGTGACACAGCTTTATGACAAGCCAGAGAAATCACTCCAAACCAAACCCGTTGTCTTAAATCTTACCTCATTGCAACTTATTTTAATCCTTCCGAATTTGACAACCTTTGTCTTGAGAAGTGTGATGATCTGTATCTTGCTGTATGATGTAAAGAATAATACACTCTCTAAATTCTGGTGACCGGGACAATTCTAGACATAAAATCAAGAAATACAAAGAGCACAAATAAAACATTGGACCAAACTATAAGAGTATTTTAATACTATTTCATTAAAACACGACTCCTTAAAACTATAACCAATAGACATATAATTGTAATAAAATCTAACAACTTCAACTTTAGATTTCAAGTATCTCTAATTTTATCAAGTCAATGACTATYATGGCCAGGAAATAAAG